GATATGAAACTTTTAAAAGTTTCATCCTTTCGCTGCGTCTCATTTCTATTTATTGCTTTGGCTTCGACTTCCTTGATGTCCCTGTGTACTACATGTATGTGTTAGTGTTAGTGTGGTCGTGTGTCTCTGGGGCACAATGTGTTACGTGGCTTGCTGTTGCCGGTGGCCATGGGATGCCGATCTCAAGTAGTTACTAATTTAACGCTCTCGTAAAATTATAATTAGACAAGCTGCTGCCAGTTAGTGGCTTGTTGGCAATATTAATGCCACCAGCCTTTCCTGTAAATTATTGAATCAAATTGAGCTATTTACGAGTTTATAAAATATTACGTTCTGCAGGCGCATAAAACACTTAGGTCTGTGTATATAAGAGAGTACATATTGTCCTAAGTAAATATTTAGTTTCATTTATATAATAGCCGGCGCATGTGTTCCTTTGTTCGATGAAATGAATACTTAATAACCAAATGAAGTGCTTTTCGGGCTAAAAAATAAGTTTTCTGCAGCTGCAAGCCTCTTAACTGAAAGCTAGTTGGGTAGCAAACAGCAACAAATGATGGCGAAAATATAGTCAACAAAGGCTAAGTAAAGAGCTCATCGAGTACTGAAGACAGAATAGCATTCAATTTTTAAAATCAATGGAAAGTATACTTCTTTAACGTTTATGAAAACGATTTATATACTTGGTCCTACACCTGGCATCTGAGCACTCTCTAATGATTGAACATAAAGTCATATATGTTCGTAACGAGGACAAATAACATCACATGGCTTTGATGTTATTACTATTTTATAGCACGATAATGCCTGTAAGTAATAAGGTAAGCTGTAGCAGTTAACAAAATTGAGGTTAACCTTATGGTCAATAAATGAGGTTAGGCACAAAACTAGTCCTTTAACTCCAGCTAAGGTTCAAGTTCAAGTTACACGCCATTTAAAGATAGACTTCAACTTTTTTTAAAAATTGTTTTTCTTTCTGGAATATACTTGAATGGGAAACGTTAAGCTTATCAAATAGTTGGTTAACGAAACTATTGTGCTTTTATTCAACACTATTAGCAATATTCAGAGACATGCCTTAGTTAAGTAATCTAAATACATTTGTATATATTTACTTGCTGTTTTTGCCATTCTCTTTAATAAAGCCACAAAGCTATGCACGTATCCACATACAATAAACAAAGTTCAACAATTTCATTCCTTAATGTATGCTTCTAAGTATTAGGGATATTGCGCAACTTATTCTCTTGGTCTTTGCTCTTGCGCGCATTTTTATTGTCCTCCTTACGTATTTCTACTAAAACCGTCATAAAACGACTCGGTACGAATGGCAGTTCACATTTTTGATAACGGCTGTAAAATATGCAAGCACGCATCACGCATACGCAATGTGGGCTGAGAAAAATGTATTACATTGAAATTTTCAGTTGCAGCGACTCACACGACTTGAGTTTGAATAACACCGATACATTTTAAATACATATTTGCACCGAGATTTCGTTTCGTCAGACAGTGATTTGTGTAGACGAACCCTCTCAGATCCCTAGCATCATATTGCTGTCATATGCATAATGTGATCTAAAAATGTTTTGTAATGCTAAAAATATTTGACTAAATGTTAAGATGAAAATTCGTTCTAATCAACAGCTCGGCACATGATCATAGATGATTATAGTTTTTGGCGCAGTGAAGCTTAGGCGAAGATAAAGATAACTTCTATTCAATTGTGATTTTTAATATCTATGCTTGATCGGGCCATTTCGATTAGAGATTAGATTAGGTAAGGCCATATCAGACCTGGGAAATTATGAACTTATTTGCAATTTCTTTGATATAATTTACGAAGCGTTGCAATGAATCTGGGTCTGCTAAGTGCTGGACAATAACTAAGAATATTTTTTTATTCCTCGTTAGCATTTTTCTACAGCTTCTACAGAAATCAATAAATGGTAGGCCAAGTCAGTTTTTTATTGTAAATGCTAATTTGCGATTTAACAGCGCTGCTGAGGGATTAGAGAATTTGGTAACCAGTTTGAAAGTTATTCAAAATTGTTTATACAGCAAATAGTTTGGGTTACTCACTACGGAATTTTACAGGCAATATTAATAAAACAAAAAACTTGGAAACTTGTAACTATCGCGCCACTAATCGGCATTCCTAGGTCTGACGCACCATTCGAGTGACGCAAAGTGGTAGAAGTGGAGACCATGAAGTAGTTGCGGGTCGTGCTCGTTTACTTCTTTTACTGACTTTTGTTTTCTGTTTGCCCTTTTTGTTTTCAGCATTGAAAGGCCATTGTTTGACTTCATTGTGGGGGTACGAATGTGTGCTTTGCATGCCTTGCGGTTTTGAATTCATTCCGCATGATTTGCATGCGAAAGGAGGGATTAAGAGACGTTTTGAGTTCCTCACTCTTTCACATTAATTTCATTTCATTTGCTGCGGTTTGGTTGAGTCGAGTTCTGCGGTCAACGCTTATGAATTTTCACATCATGCATTTGGAATATAACGGGGTTTGTTTGCTTATATTTATAAAATGGTGAATAAATTATAAGGTCAATTAATTTTAATAATTGAAGATCACTCGCAAATTGGCTTTCACTGCGGTAAGTGAAAATCATCAGGAAGGAGGAGATTCATTTAAAAAGATGTAATTTCTTGTGAATTTCAATTTCAAATAATCAAATATTGAATATGGGAAAGTAATCTTTTCGGTGAACGTGTATTTGTAAATTAAATAAAATTAAATAACACCTATAAAATAAAACTATAGAAGGTAATTAATTAATTAGATTTGTGATTATTTCTCGATAACCTTTCGATTAAATCTCTATATCCGAAATGCGGAAGAATGGGTTTATTTGGGGCTTTTTTTGAGTTTAAATTAAAATTAACTAATCAATAAGCATTCCTTAAGTTTAGAAAGCAGACATAAAGATGTTAGGAGTCTATCCTAGTGTGAGAGCGTTATCCTTATGTATATTTGACAACTTGATCTACGTTGAAAATAATATTGTAAAAATCGTATATTTCCCATAAATTAGCTTAAACGTATGGGTAATAATTTTTTGAAATGTTTTTAGTTCCTTCAGTTCAGTAAAACAAACGGATTATCGCAAGGAATGAACTTGAGATTATATTATATAATACTATATATACAAATATTAAACTATGCTGCCAAAGAGTCCATTGAAATATCATAATTTTATGTTAATACTAGAATATCCTACGTATTCCTTGCTTAAATTATATATTTGTATTGTGTCCAATTTCAGGAAAAATAACTAGGCAACAGCAAATTACAAATCAGCATCAAATCAGTCTAGATTTTCTGCAATTTAATTGAAAGCTTTATAGTGTGATTCAATTTTATTTCATTTAACTGTGCAGTTGAAGGCTATTTGAGGTTTTAATTTGCAGTAATTTACATAAGTAGTATGGAAAAAACTAAGCTTTAACATTTTCTACACATACTCATCAGTTTTCAGCATAACATGGGTTGCATGTTCCTCGCATATTCCCTGTCCTTGCACACACACATTTGTATATATAACACACACTCATAAAGGAGCTTATACGGCTTGTCATTTGTGAAGGACAGACGTGCGTGCTTTTGTTACAGACTCGCAGCTAATTAGGTTTCTGCACGGTTGCATACGAGTATGCATAATTCCAAGAGAACATCATCGGGCAATGAAAGCTAGCTGTTTATAATTTCTAAAGGCATAATCAAATAAAATATGCGGCCATGCCAGTGCAAATCCAGATGCAAATACAAAAGCTTGGGCATATGCTGTTCTTGGCATCATGTCAGTGCCACTGACGGCATCAACAAAGCCGCATGCAGCCTGACACGGCATTCATTACTGTAAAATGTTGCACTGCTTCTGCAGCTGTGACGCAACTTGTTGCTGTAAGCGCCCCATGACGTTGAATTAGCACCAAATTAGAGCCTAGTCAGCATCAAACAAGCCAATGCCACTCACATTTCCATGGCATGCCCTTTCTACGTATCGCCCGATGCGAATAGTTCCCATAATGCTGCATATAGGCACTGACTATATGGAATATAGATCTGACTTTAAAAATTTTCCTTCTACTAGTAAATACAAGAAGCGAAGGCATTACATAACTGGTGGATCAGTTGGTGGATCACTGACTATCTCTATATATAAAAAAGTTTGTCCTGACAGACTGATTGATTGGTGATCAATTCACAGCCCAAACGGTAAAAGCTGAAATTTGGACTTAAGTATCCTTTCATAGTGTATGTTGGCGATAAGATTTGGAAAATTCGAGCTCCAAAGGGGGAAAACAGGCTCTAAAGTTTGAATGAAAAATCCGAGTTTTTCAATCGATCGACTTAAAACTTAGTTTGTATACTCTCGGAAAACTTTCCAAGAAAAACTGCATACTTGGTTTTTTGAAATTTTTCTTGGGGCATTAAATTTAGGAGTTTCCTGTAAAAAATTATGGGGCACAAAAGGAAACCGCGTCAAAAGCCCACAGCTCAAACGGTAAGATCTAGAATGCCGAAATTTGGGCTCAAGTATCCAATCATAGTGAAGGTGCGCACTATGAAGGGATTCTGGAAAATTCGAGCTCCAAAGGGGGGAAAACGAGCTTCAAAGTTTGTTTGAAATATTTTCAGTTTTCCACCAATAAACTTCAATTTTGGTTTTTGTGATCTATAGGAGAATACAAATAAAACTGCATACTTGGTTTTTATATCCAGTACCCAAAGGGTGAAAGGGTATACAAGTGTGAAATATAGATATGACCTTAAAAATTTCTCCTTTACAAGAAGGGAACACATTAAATAACTAGTGGATCTGTTGTATCAAGTCTAGGTGATTTTAGTTTTTCTGGAGCACTAGTGTTCATTATCGGGATTGATTGGATTATTTTTTTTGTAAATCATCTCATCAATCATAATCCCCCCATTTTATTTAACCGCGTGTCAGCATCTAATTATTAATGCGAGTGTGTATGTACTTACCACGCCAACGGAAAAGTAATTATTGATAATATTGTAGGGTACTGTGCAGTCCTTGTCTGACTGCACTTTAATGGGTTTTGGCTGTTGTTGTTGTTGTTGTTGTTGCTGCTGCTGCTGTGATACTGCTGTGGGCGTTGTTGTACGCCCTTGGTTTTCTAAACTTGGCGTTAGGGGTGTTTGTGGAATACTGTTGTTGCCGTTGTTGTTGGTGTTGCTGTTGTGGTTGTTGTTGTTGCTATTGTTGGACATCATTGCTGGTGGTTGTGTTCTGCAGTCATCTGACAAATCCAATGACAATGTAATTTGCTGTTTAGCGATGTTGTTCTCTTTATTGCACTGACTATTATTATCCCTTTGATTATTCCCAAACGCAGTTGTTTCCTCTACAACTTCCGATTTGCCGGCTGCTGATTTTTGTTCTGCTTCTTGCTTATCCTGCTCCTGTGCCTGCTCCTCTTGTTGCTCTTGCTGTTGCTGTTGTCGTTGTTGATGCAGCTGCTGCTTGTGTTGCAGCAAAAGCGTCTCAAGTGATTGCTTTTCTGTTACATCTGTTGTTGCTATTGTAGTTGTTGTTGCTGATGCTGCCGTGGATGGCACTTGTACGTCTGCATGCTCCATCTCAGCGTCCTTAGCATCGTCCTGTTGCTGTTGCTGTTGGCATTGTTGTGTGACTAAACTGCTGCTTCCATTGCCACTGCCACTGGCGCTGCTCGCACTGCTGCCGCTCAACGTATTTGTCAATGTTGTTTTCTGCGAACGCTTCAACTCAAAGGTTGACATTGAAATGCTCTTCGTTGTTGTGGTGCGTGTACTGCAACTCATTGCTGTTGTTGTTGCTGTCGTTGCTGTCGTCATATCCTGGGTGTATTCCGATGCATTCATAATCGATGAGCTGGAGACTGCCGTAGCTGCTGGATGCTTGCCAGTTGCCATGTTGCCCATGCTGGTGCTGCTGGTCATGATGTTTTGACGCTGCATTTGCTCGAACCGTTCGATTAACGACTTGTCGACAACAACACTTTGCGACAATTCAATCACCTTCTGCATATTTGAGTGCAGGGTTACCTGTAATGAGACGGAAACATCGTTGAGCCATTACGGATGCAAAAGAGTCCAATTGTAGCAGACTCTTCACAATATTCAAATGATGATTACTAAGCTACACCTTTTTAGCTAGCAGTTGAAAGGAGTAGGAATTGTATGCTGTTGAAAACATTTCCAATAGAATTAATTCTCCTGTACATCCGATTAGTCAAATGTTACTGAGGAATTCTGATTAAATCTGATAGCTTATACTTATCTTATAAAACATTGTGTAATGCTGAGATTAACACGAGAACTGAAAATGTTTATAAATGTTAAATACAATAAACAATGTTGAGAATTCTTGGTTTGTCAGCCAATGTGTTTCTGAATGGAAACTAAACATTATCAATTCTATTAGGTATATTATTTCCAAATTGTTAAGCAATCGATTGCTGGCAAAGATGTCATAATCGGATTAAGAGACAAGTATGTACAAGGTTAGACCGATTCGTTCTCTATCTTCTGACTCCTAAAAAGTGCACCGAACTTTAAAGCGATGCATAAATCCCATTGCCTTATATTTAATGCATTTCATGTAGGTATATGGTAAATATTCAGGTTGCAGCTGCAACTAAATGGTGGAAAGGGAACGTCTACGCTGGCAATCTCAATTAAAAATTCGTTCCCAACAGCCATTTTGAAATTAGTTCGAATAATCTTCGAACGGCCGCATCGTTGCAAACCGCTGCGTGCGCCTTTTGTGGCAGATAATTGGATTTTTTCCAGGGGGCGCGCTGTTGCCACACATGCGTTGACCTGCTGACTTGACTCAATTTGGGGCATGTTGCCAGTTGCATGAACGCCCACCTACCGACCTATACATGCGTTACTGTTACTGCCACTGTGTTCTTACCTTTGGTCGCAACAGCTCGTCAACAGGCGCCGCATTTGTTACCTCAATACTCCAGCGATCCAGCATCACAGTCGAGGCACGTTTTATTTTCTCCATAAGTTTGGGAATGTTCTCGCCCTCGTAGCCCCCGCCCCAGCGCAGGCATCGCGCCAAATCGTTACCCGTGCCAAGCGGAATCACGCCAATGGCGGGTTGCGTGGCCAGCTCGATGGAGTCTGTGTAAAAAGTGCGTGAGATTACAAGTGTATGGTGTGTATAGGTTGGTGTGTGTGTGTGTGTGTGTGTATATGAGGCATAATTTAATGAGATACGCTTTTCAAATTGTTGTTGTTGCTCATTTTTCTTGCTTACCCATAGCCTCGAGCACCCATCCAACAGTGCCGTCGCCGCCGCAACAGATGACTTTGAAGTTGGGCAGGTCTTTAAAAAGCGTGAGTCCTGCGTAAAAAACAATATTTTAAAAAATCTTGCCAGACAGCTCATATTTAAGCCGAGGCTGTGATGAGCCTAATTGAAAGTTCAAATGTGGTTTTCCCTATAATTGTTAAATTGTTCTCATAACAAGTCGGTTGAGAATTCCAATCTTTAATGGTCTTTTCTCAATCAAGATTTTAACAAGAATCTTAAACATTTGATTTCAAAAATGAATAAATTTGTATATAACTATTTTAGAGTGAGTGTGATTCTGAGTGAGACGTGAACTGCCACACTTGGCTGCTTTTTTGCGGTTCTATTGACTGCAATTCCCAAGTCACTTTTCTGCAGAAGCATCGAGTTGTGAGTTCTTCTTTTGTGTGTGCGCAATGTAATAACAAATTTACTTGTAAATTAACGAATGTCAAGATTTCCTAGGTTAAAATAAAAACCTAAACAAACAAAAATGTCTTGGTACAAGAACTTTCGAGCTAAACGCTTTTCTTTGAAACTCTTTGGAATCGATTTAAGCACTAAAAAAACAATTAATAATTTTAATTATTATCAGCAGAAATGTATACATAAGCTATAAGGAATGTGGATTGACATTATTGTAGATTTTTAAATTCCATTTTCAACATTCAACTGATAACTATTGGCTGCAAGTTTTAATGATTGATTGCACAAACTTAAAGTACCCCTCTGTATCCTGTGGGTACAGGGTATACAAAAAATAAAATTAAAATAAAAAATTCTAACTTCGGTAATTAATGCGAGTTTTAAAAATATTTCACACAACAAATAATTTAAATATGATAAAAAAGTGACAAAAATATTCAAAACAGAATGGCGACGAGATTCTAAATTGAGTTTGAAATAAATTTCGTTTTTTTTTTTGTTTTTTGAAATGTATCAACAATAAAAAAATCAACATAATTATTAATATAACTATAACTTTAAATATTTTTTTTCACTTGAAGTGTAATCGTAATTTAAAGATTGGGAAAATGCTAGCTTAAAAACCATTTGTCACAGCCTCGACTTGAGAAGCGTAATTCGCAGTTGCTTACCTTCTTTGGGTCCACCTTTGGATAGATCGTAGACCTGACGCGGATTCAGCATATATTGAAACTTGCGCAATATGCGATCGCCCTGGCGGCCGCCACTCTTCGGATTCACAAACACCAGGAGTGGGCAGCTGTGCTCGTCCGGCGGCGTGATTTGGAAGTGTGTGGCCTGATGATGATGCATTTGTGATTTCTATTCTCGTTTCATTTCAATAAAATTGGAGCGCATGGTGCAGTAGTAGCAGGAGGGGTTTTTATTTTAGCGGAATTTTAGAGGCATTTTTGCAGTTAGGTAGCATTTGTGGTCATTTGATTGATTTGTGCCAATATCATGGTGATTGATAGCATTTTCATTTGAATTTTTGAAAATAGAGAGAGGGATTTTCAGACAAGCGAATGAATGGATTTAGTTTGTGCAATTGTTGCACAATGCATGTGTGCTTTATGTATTGAAGAGTGCAGGTCAGGCAATGAGAGCAACTCAATTGTGTTTGGCAGTTACTTACTTTGTTCGCCTGATTCACCGAACGCTGGCGATCCAACACAGCCGGACATATAGCCGTGGGGGGCACAATCAACTCTGCATTCTCACCCAGCGTGCATTCCTTCTTCACCGAGGAGGCGCAGCGGTTGTGTAACTGTTGGTTAGAGGAAAGCACAGTGAAGCAATCAAATTAGCCAGAGTGCAAAATATAAGTCGCGAAAAAGTTTAACGTCCGCGCCCCTCCAAAAAATGTAGCTCATACTAAATATTTCCCTAAATCCAATTTCCAGTTCATTGCTGCCCGCATGCCACTAATGGATAAGCGGTGACGACATTGGCCGGCCAGCTGCCCGCCCGACAGACTAGGCGTATACGTATTTATTTTGTGCGAGGCTTACGCTTACTTAAACGTTCATTTCACGCTAATGAATCCGATTAAAAGTTTGTTAGCGACCCAAATTGTTAATTTTTGCAGTTAAATGAGATTTTGTCGGGCTCTTAACCAAAACGCCTATCTGGGGGCTGGCTGCGCTTTAAGTTGTTCAACAGCAGCTATTAAAAAAATCATTTCTGAAGCTGAGCATCGCTCATTTTTATGCTAAATATTTCGTACAGTTGATAAATACAATTTGTGTGTGTAATCTATGACTAATAGAGAATAATCTTTATACATATAAACGAATCTAGTTTGCTTAATTAGCACGTCTCTTATATAGGTTTGAAAATAGATTGCGGGAAGTGGGAAAAATTCGTAGCTTCAAGCTTCAGAGCTTCAAAATTAATTCCTAGCTAGTCTCGGTATGCATGCTGAATTAATTTATAGTATAAAAGTATAGATAATATTTTATATAGTTCCATGCTATATACGAGTTATAGTTACAGTAATGAAAACTTTAAAGCAAATGAAATGCTAGGATTTTGATCTGCATTCATCAGTCCACGTATTTTCTATCATTAATTTTTAAGGCGTAGTAAACAATTTCTCACACACCAATTGCCTAACTCTAGGCTATACTATAGAGGTCAAAGAAAGCCATTATACATTGAGGGATTGCACCTCCAAGTTTGCTGCATTACGAAAGTTTCGCCATCTCTTCAATCTATAATTGTCACGGCCAAAACTGTGAAACTGCTCAAGCGAACTTTTGGCTTATCCAGACCACACTAGGACAAAAGAAAATGTACTTTACAAAATATTTGCATATATTGGCAGCCGAGAGCGCACAAAACGTTTAGGTTGCAAAATATTTTGCAGCAGTTGCACAAGTTTCCACAGCTTCTTGGCACTATTTGTCTGTTGGCCTCCGTTATTATTTTGTTGTTGCTTCTGTTTTTTCTTGTTTCTTGGAGTTGCTGTTGTGCATGCGTCTTTTGATAAAACAAATTCGACATTATCTCTGCTGCACTTGTCAAAGTCGGGAGACAAAGTTGTACTCGTATGCCAAGGCGAACGTGTGGCAGACGGGAAAGCGTCAGGCTTTTTGCGGTTGCCATTTGTCTGAGGCATGTGGGAGCATAATTTGCTCGAGACGTGACAATTTCCAAGCCATAACGAAGTCGATGCCAAAGTGCAAACAAGTGTGCGAGCTTGTCACTGTGTTTGTGCACGTGATGTAGTTAAAATCACTTGCGCATAACAAGTTGGCAACTAGAAGAGCACACACGAGTATTCCTACCATCACATGGCAGCACATACAAATAGTAGACATGTTTATAGTTATCCTTCCGGTATGTGTCGGAGCCTTTGTCTTACATCAGTTGAGCAAAGTAATTGGAATTCCGTACTGCAAAATTCGAACTCGCCTCACACACAAGCTATACATGAGTTCCTTGCATTGATTTAAGTGCAAATATATAAACATGTTTTCAACAGGCACAAATTGTAGCCTTGGGTCTGGCCACAGGAAATGTGATATTGAGTTACGATTCATTCTAGGAATTTTTCGCACATACTCGTACATACATTTATAACTACATCCCCTGGCATTGATTGCATTAAAAATAGAAGTTCATTTCATTTTCCTCACATATGTTTTAATGAACTAAAAAAAGTACGCCATAACTTTATCATCAGATTTGTTGCACGCAGATAAATGAGCTAAAAACGCATCGTCGTCTGTTTCGAAGCTGCATACTCTTCACTGTGTCTTATTTGTACAACCAAACATTATCCTTCCATGGTCATGGACTGCTTACAATTTACGGAAAGATATTATCAGACGATATTATATTTAATTGGAAAGCAATTTTATAGACAAGTAGTGTTCCATAAGAAAACAAGAAAGGAATGCTAAAGTCGAGCAGGGTATAGGGTATATCCCTGTACCACCCCACAAAAATGAAATTAAATTAATTAATTAATTTGTATCAGAAAAAATAAACAAACTCGATCTGTCTAGGGCTGATAGGAACCTTGATACCAATTTTGGTTATCCTTGCTCTGGTGCTTACTGAGATCCTTGCGCTCATAGAGACAGACGGACAGACGGACAGACAGACAGACAGACAGACAGACAGACAGACAGACAGACGGACATGGCTATATCGACTCGTCTTGTCATCCTGATCAAAAATATATATACTTTGTGGGGTCTGCCACGCCTCTTTCTGCCTGTTACATACATTCGCACAGAACTAGTATACCCTTTCACCCTTTGGGTACAGGGTATAATTATTTTTGAGTTATATACAGCTATATTAAAAAGAGTAATTTGATACTTTGGGTGTCGAAATATTATTTTTGTCCTTAAAAAAGAAATATATGTGCACGTTAGTTGTACAATTATGGGAAGAGTAGTGATTGAAATACACAAAACGTCGGACGGGCGAATGGGGGGACAGGAATACTGTTCTTTAAAGTGTGGCCCACCATTGTTCCTTTTTGGGGGCTACAACAATATACCCTGACAATTTACAGTGAGGGCCATAAAAACCAAAAATATTCATTTTAGTGGACGCCACAAAATTTAAAATTTCTCACACATGATATAAAAAAATAAAAACCTTAAGGAAAACTGTCAAATTTGGTGATAATAGAAATGTTAGGAAAAACTTCGCAGATAACTTGTCGTGGTGCTTTGTCATCTCTAAGAAAATAGAATTACATATTAAAAAATATTTTAAAAATTGTTAAATTGAAGTTTATTTATTTTTATAACAAGGCATGGCATGGACTTTATTCATTCGAGGTATATTTTTGTGGCTGGATCCGAATACAAAAGCTGATGGTCATGCAGAGTAGATGTTGCGTGGAAATGTTTGACTGTAAAAATGTATCACCTCTTCAGTAAGGCAGAAGAGATTTAAAACGTTAAGCCACCCTTTTCTATGCAACTTGTTCTAAGTCGCACAACAACTCTGTTACTGGCATATGCTAGCGCAACAATCATCTCTCTAGCTAAGCCGATCAATTGCAACAACTGACTGGCTGGTGTGGCTGCAACAACTCTTCATACACTTACGAGTGTATAACATATTTTGTTTATCATCACTTGTGGCTTTTCAAGGAATTCAATCATTTTTGTAAGCGCATTTCTGTCAACTGAATGACATTTCGTCTAACTCTGTCTAAACACAGCCCACATTTGACCTTCAGTCTGCTTGGGAGTATGAATACTTCATTAAGAGCCATAGACCGTCAAATGTCACGCAAATGTCCGTCAAATGTGGGCAGAAGGCAAACTCAATCAATTCATGTTCATGAAGCACGCTGCAACTAGTCCGAATACTCACCATCATGTGGCACCAACGACACGTCAGTCCCGTGATGCCGTGGTACGCCTTAATGCGTTTGCGGCACTTCGAACAGCGTCCGTAGCAGTTGCCTTCAACCCAGTGGTGCAATAAATCGCTGCCGCATTTGGGCTTTTTTGATTTCACGTACGTAGTAATGCAGGATGCGGGGGCATGTTGCACGCAGCGTTCATGCACTGTGTATTTGCATACTGGAGGCCAACCAGAGGCATTCAGTATGTGTGCGTGAAAAGATATCAAAGGACTAATTTAATAATATATTAATTAAAAAACCATTTGCTCCTCATTTCAAATGTACAATTTCAATTCAGTTCTTTACAACAATTATCCAATGCCAGCAAAGTCAACACTAAATTCAATTAAAATTTGACATGGAAATAGACGAGCAGAGGTCCGAAAGCTATTGCTAATTAAATATGTTTGTGGAAATAAGTGTGAACAATTTTAAGAAATTAGAGAAATGTAATCCCTTAATTGAAATGGGGTTTAATTTTTGTTGTTAACGGCCATTAAATTCTATATCAAATTTTTTAGAAAGATACTGATCTCCGGCTAAGCATTTCTGGCATTTGGCCCAAACTTTTGCACATTTGTGCCACAGACGAGTATTTGTTCTCGAGTGATAGATACTTACACACACAGCATAGACCCTTCTTGCCCAGGCCGACGAGCATGTTGAGGCAGAGGTTGCAATATGCCGGTTTGCTGAAGTGCTTCAAACGCCAAACGTGTATGCCGTCCTCCTTGAGTGTAGTGCTATCGACACCTGCGGCACGAAAATGAAGAACACACAACTTAAACTTCGATGCATGACAGGTAGAGCCATGCCTGAAATTTGCATAGTTTGCACACGCAGGCAAATCGAGCTCTAAGTAGAAGCATGAGTGGCAGCCACAACTGCAATTGCCACAATGCTGCATTTTTTTTTTTTTTTGCACTTGCAAATAACTTGATTATTACAGACAGAGAAGGAGTCTGAGACACAGACAAGCAGAAGTGTCCTTCCAAATGTTGTGTGGACTCGAACTAGCTCAGCGCAAACAATTTCACTTGTTATTGTTTTTATCGTTTATTTTACTTATAGACCCATAGTTGTTTTTCAACATTTACATACTAAAAACTTGTAGTATAACATATAATTTCAATCATATTAGTTAATGCATTTACTCTTTGCTAGCATACATAAATTTTGTTATTGTTTTAAAGGAAGTGAAAAGTCTGCTCCTAATTATATTTAATCATTTGTTAGATGTGAATGCCCATATACAAGTATACGTTCATTTCAGTTTTTATCGTTTATTTGACATAAACACATAAGTATATAGTTCCACCGTTTTTTCAGCATCTACATACTAAAAACTTTCAGTATAAAATATCGTTTAAGCCAATTTAGTTCATGCATTCATTCACTCCAATATTTGAAGCATATAGTAGGGAAATGGAATAACGCTAAGGGGTTGCTTTTAGTAATGTCGGATCCCGTGAAACCTATTGGAATATAATACACTATATTCAAACCTTTATTTGTGAATAATATTTAAGAAGAAAATATACTATATGAATATATATTAACCTCTAATAACAACGTTTGCAAACAACATTTGTGAGAGCTATATACATTTACGTTTTACATTAAAGAAAGTGAAAAGACTGCTTCTAGTATTAGTCACGAAATGACATCAAGGCCAGCAATATTTAAGTAGTGGAAAGCTCGTTTCAAGTTTGTTTAAGAACAATGAAACTATTTTGTTCTACAAGTATATGTAGTTTTTGTGCTTAGTTCATACTTGTATTGCAGCATTGTGTCACTCAAATAAACTGCACAGCTCTAGTTGACTTACCCAGCAGGACTAGTAGCGGAATCGTAGTCATGCCGCCCCTCTGCCATTCATCCAGGGACACGGTGCCATCGGCATCGTAGTCGATTTCAACCATCATCTCTTGCAGGATCTGCAAATATACGAGTACGAATATGGCAGTGAGAGCGTGAGAATAGTGACATGAACGCCTGCGGCATTGCTGGATTTTCTGATTGACATTCAGCGGTGTGTAAAGTAAAGTCGAGAAAATAAAGGTAATTTCGCATAAGAGGTTGCATTTTGCATGGGAAGCGATTTTATTGCCTTGTCTAAGCGCACAGCACAAGCATTTGGTAGAGCAAAACTGTATGGCTTTGCAGCTTGATTGTTCAGGTAGCAACAACATAGTTCTTGCTAATAAGCTATGAGACGACGGATAAAGTAAGGAACTTTTCAAATAGCAAGCAAGTGCGCTTACGTTTCTTTAAGCCGAATAGCAATTTAACAGATTAATAGACTAGCTTCTTCTACTTATGGCTACATAAATATTTTCTAACGTTATTATACCCAGAGGGTAAAAGGATATACTGGCTAACTGCGACGTATGTAACAGACAGAAGGAGGCGGAAGGAGGAGGAAGGTGGCAGACCCCACAAGGTATATAAATATTCTTCATCAGTCAATGTAGCAATGTTCGTCTGTCCGTCCGTCATTCCCTCCGTATGAACGCAACGATCTCAGAAATTTGGTATCAATATTCTCCTATATCCGAGAAAGAACGATTTTGAGCTTTTTTCTTTTTCTCCCTCACTTCCCCGTTATAAGTGATTTTCCTTTATTCCCGTAATTCTTTGAATTATCATAATGGGTCAATTACGAAGAAAATTATAGCTATAAATGTAATGTAATTTATTTAATTATTAAATATTTTAATATTTTTTTTAGTGTTTTACCACTGTATAGGGTATTTAGAAATTAAGCCTGCTCGGCTCCTTTCCTTTCTTGTTCTTGACTTTGAATTTGTGCATTTCATTTCCGCTGCCATTATAAATAAATTTATTATCTTTGCCGGCAGTTGCCCTGACTTTTCGACCAACGCAATTACAAATTTATATGTTGCGGAAATGAATGCCAGAAATATGCAATTCATTAAACGCTTTGATTATTTTACTGTGAAGGGGCGAAACCTCAGAAGTTCCGTCGACAGCAAATTATGGAATTCATAAGTTTGTGAAGCTAGTCGTTGTCGGAATCACAAATACAAAACTCAATGCCTGTCCAGCTTGAGTGTGTGTGTGTGCATTTGTTTTGGTTTTCGTGACTGTGCATGAGCACGAAAAAGGGAAAATATTTTTTGATTAAAATATCTGTGTGTATTTGTGCTCAGAATTTTAAATATGCAGCGCACAGTGAAGTTGTCATGATGGAAATAACAGGCATAGATACGAATATGGAAAAGGAGAGGCGTGGAAGGGGACCATTAGACCACAGTCGACGCGTGGCCCAAAGTATTTTTTGTTAATTGAGTTTTGCGGTGCTTTGACTTCATTTGTAAACGCGAAAAACGTTTACAACTCAGCCGAGCTTGGGCACTCAGTTGTGGGTTGTTTTTTTTTTTTGGTACTTTTTGTAGTTGGTGCTGTTTTTTCAACCAACTAATGAAAACTATTGCAACTGCTAAGCTGAATCAGGGCTTGGCTACAATTTGTGGTCGAAAAGAAAACTCAAACAAAGTGGAATTCCTAACTCAGCTTACAAGAAACTGAAATAACTTCGACTATTCTAAGGTTGTACTTGAATTTGTTGGAATGTACCTAACATTATCTAAGTAATTGAAAAAGTTCCGTGAGATAATTATCGCAAACGTTCTTTGTTTGAACACTTAGCGCCATCATATTTTGTATAATGACTAATGACAAGGTGATATATATAGTTTTAAAATCAATTTTAAATGCTGATTAGAAGGATAAAGGTACAGGAAATAACTTCCAAGCTATTGTATCGCTTACCGGTCTCAACTCGCTGACATCCCAGCCCAAATATTCGGCAACGGCCATCATTTGATTAACAATTGCATCCATTTCGGCTGTGTCCAGTACTCCGTTGCTATCCGTATCATACAAGCGGAACATAACTGCAATAAATTAATGCGAGAATACGGACATGAGTGCATGAAGCAGTGCACTGAAGGACAAGTCGTAATAAAGGGCGCCTTGAGCGCATTTCGTGCTGCATACTTTCCTGCGTTGTCGCAGAAACTGCACTTCATTGTCTTTGGCTACAGCTTTTGGCCTCACTTTCGTAAGCATTGTACACTCCGGAGTGCTAATACATACATATGTACAAGAGTACTTACATTCAAGCTTATCCTCCGGACGTCCAGCCTCGAGCAGTGATAAATAACAAACGACATCCTTGAGCGCAACCTTAAGTGTCAATGGATCAAAATGTGAGAGTTTACGCGCCAAGAGCTTAATGTCAGCTGCAAAAGTCGAAAGTGAAATAATGTTTAAGTTCTATATTGCTGTGGTTGTTGTTGTCTTTAAGTGAGTGTTTATGCTTCCTATTGATGTGGTTATTACTGTAAGTGACAGCAGTCGGTTTAAACCAAACACTTTTTGCGCGTTATGCACAATTTTAATTGGCTGGCTTTAAAGCAAAGTTGTTAATTAACCTAAGAGAATGTCATGATAATTGCACGGTGTTTTTCCATTGCTTTGCAGAAGTAAAATAATCAAAAGCACTGATAATAATTAACTTTTCTCATCATATGCTTCAACTACTTTGGATTAGCTACTTGTGTACTTTATATATGTACATTTTAATATCTAAATGTTATTAACAATAATAAGATCTATAAGAAGACATCGAATTGCATCAAATAAAATTCCTAGAATTTCAGCATTGACAGAAGCACGCGTTGACGACACATGAATATGAACGGATATTATTAATTCCTTGGAACTTCTATGAAGTGTAAAGAAAAAGACATACACGCACACACAACTACAACTATTGACATGCCATACAAAGCATTTTTCCTTCTATTAGTTTCAATTCATTTGCAATGCTTATTCGTTTCCGTTCAGGCTTCAATCATTTGTCATATATATAGTCGTATCTGCATTTAGTGCACATCTGAGTTTGTATCGAAAAGTTATGAACTCTATTATATTTCAACAGCCTATTTGCGGGTGTTGTTGATGTTGTACAAGTAAATTATATATTGATGGTAAAAGTCAGAATGTCATTATTTGTGCAAACAGTTTTTGTCTTACTCGTATGTAGGAAGCACTTTAGTTGGATTTTTTGTTTGTTTTAAACATCCAGATACCGATGATATATGTATATGTGATAGCAAACATAGTATGTGAGCTAATTATGTTTGCTAAACAATAAATTAAAATACATCCGCACATCATGTTAATATTTACACATAATATAGTATTAATAACTAAACTAAACGTTTTTTTTTGTCCTTCCACTTGCCTCCTTACAAATACCCAGAGCCATTTGTTTTGTGTACATTTGTAGCAAACAATTTGAGCTTGATGAATGCATGAATTATGTCAACATATACATACATAATAGCATAGGCATAAACAAAGCCAACGCGGCAATGTTGTAGCCTTGGCGCCTGAGATGATCAATGTCAATGTATTCCATGTATTTGCCTGGAAGCTTTTCAAACAATAAATTTAATTTGCAGAGCGAACAGAGCACGCAGCACAACACGCACAGCACACACTTATCGACAAACTAAATATACAGAGGCAGCAGCAGAAATTGTACAAAAAGCTAAGCAAAACTAATCCAATTAGCGCCTACAGTCAACACACACACACTCTCATACACAGAAGTGAAGGAACGGTCCGCCCACCAAAACAATACCCCAGACAAAGGGACAGCATTACAATGTTGTACTTAATATATTGTATAATGCTAATAGCAGTGGCCAAAAAAAGAAAAGTAACAAAAAACACCGTTCATGACTTGACTCGCTATGGTGCTTATACCCTATTTAAGGGTATCTCGAAATAAACCAATAAAGTCTGAAACGGACATCCAGAAGATTAAATGATGCTGCGATCAACCGATTAATTAAAGTCTTGCATTTCCACTAAGATTTGCATTTTGGCAAAAGTCGTATAATTTAAGAGCGCCTAATTAATAAACGTGTGTTCATGAAATGCTTTTGAATAAAATATAACATAATGCAAAAAGTATAAACCAAAAAAAATATGCCTCTCTGATGGCCACAAGGGATATTTTTAAGGGTATTTAATGGTCAGCGCGGCTCATTTGTTGGTCCTCCTTTACCCAGGTTTCATGAATTTTTCTGAAGGCAATTCTCGACCGACTGGCATACCAAACAACCAGCCTGACATTAATGAGTGCAAACAGAGTGCCGACGCTCGCATCCTTGCGACCGAAAACAATGAAAGCGCAGGGCACAATTGCAGACAAAATGCGTGAAACAGGCAACAGCAACACCAATACAAACACACAGAAAATGAGGGCAAAAATGAAATTTACGTTCATTAATCATTCGGGCGCATTTCAAACGAAACGAATGGATGGATGAAAGCAAATGGAAAAGCCAAGTAAAGGAAGTGCCTCTGCAAAGAAAGAAATGTGTATGCGTGTACAGAGAACTTCACTTTCCCGCGCATTTTTATTTCGAGTGTAGCATACTTTTCGGCCACAAGTGCACGACTTCTTGGGCTCAGCTGTAAGTAGTTGAACAGAGCACTTGACCTTCTTCACTTTTTTAATGATTAGTAAGTACTAGTTCTGTGTTGAGTTAAAGCAATTCTAAATTATTACATTTTATAACTCCTAGGAATATCACTCAATTAGCAGAATTTGGCTACAAATACAAAGCACTTTTCGTTTAAAAGCGACCAAAATATTTTATATTTTTATTTTGTGCCCTGTTTTCATATGGTAAATGGGAATACTAGCTTCTATGAAAACGACTATATACATAGTAAATGGGTAATATTCCTGTGACTCGAAGGCTGAGCCGGCTCCAGTTATTTCTTCGTGTTGTTTGTTTTTGTAAAAATATTTGTTAAGACGAGTGGCTTGCATGTTTTATTTTAGATGCGTTAATAAACCAGCTGCACTATTTAAATCAGGCTATGATGCCTGGCCGCGACATTTGGATCCAAATGACGGAGTTGAAGAAGTCAAGCCAACAAATCTTTGCATTCAAATGTTAGAATTGTTTTAGTTGTAGTCTTAAAACTTGCTTGGCTTGAAGTCTTTTGTTGTTTATTGAAACCAGCGTGAAACGCGAAAAGTTTTCAATTTAAAATGTTTTTTATAACCTTTATGCTATTTACTTTTTGAGATTTGTTTTTGTTTAATTATTAATATTGTTTCATTTTTGATTATTTGTATGATTTGTGAAAATCTGCTCATTTCATTGTTCGGACATATGTTCTTTTATATTTTTATAGAGTTATTTTTCATCAAAAAATAAAACATAGCAAAAAATTATGGTGATTATGCATTTAGCAAATTTCAAAAAAAAAAAGGAAGGATATTGGTATAATCAGAGTTTTTGCAAAGTTACTATAAGTGAATGGGGCTTTCGCGTTTAAAAATCATTATTTGCGGTCCCCGATTGAAATCAATTGAACAAACTTATATTAATATTTCCAACTTACAGTTTGTAAATTTGTTTAGTTCAGCTGTGTATGGCATAGGTGTGTCTCAACCTAGGAGTAAATTTTAATTTAACACTCCACGTTTGTTTTCTAAATGTATACAGGAGGGCAAAAATTTGTCTAAATATACATTGATTTACGGCGCAATCTAGCGAGTTAACCTTTCGGGTTTCGTGCCTTTTTGTAAACTTCTTGTATACTTTATTGTTATTTCCGTTTTTATGTAGCTTTGTTGCTTGTTTTCATTTTTTCACTTGGGCCTTCTTTTTACTCTCTTTTCATAATTTATGAAGTTCGTAAATTAGCGCATGCTGAGGATAACGGAAATGTCTACATTGTGCAAAAGATTCCTAATTTATTCTCTAATTAGTAAGTACATTGAATTTGCACAAGTTTTGACTTCATTAAATGGTTAGAGTAAACAAATAGTTGGCGAATGCTGCTATATAAGCAGTACAATGGAAATTTATGGCAACCGATATTAGTTTGGCGATTTTAAATGATGCATTCCTATTTGTTTAATTTGGATTGGATTATTGCTTTGCTTTGGCTGACATTTTATTGTGTAGTATATACTTAAATCAATTTTTATTTTTTTAAAGCCAAAATCATAGTATAATATTAGTTTCTGGTCAAAATGTCAAGTTTTCATAAAGGGAATATTTTCGTTGGATGCACCTGCTTAGCAAAAATCAATCGTTTTAAGTTTTACAAGCTCATCTCCCTATTATTCTGCGATAGAGTTTCCTCTTCCGTAATAATTGAAAACAATTAATTGTTTTTTTTTTTTACATTTAGAGCGGAGCAGGCGTCGTTCCACTGTATCACTGGAAACGCTCAGAAGTATATGGTTAAATTCTTATTCCGCGTCACAATATTGTGAAAGTGTCACAGTCTTTGACATTGTAATGCAATTTTGCATTCAGATCGAGCTGAGCCGAGCTGAGCTGCCTTGCATGTCTTATGCCAATGTAATCAGTTTACAAGTGACAGGAGTGTCGGCAAAGTGCTGCGCTGACAGTCACAAGTGAAGGCAATTGAAATTCCCTGGATGATAAGATGGGCTTACGGGCATGCATTCATCAAGTCGTGTGTGGGTGTGTATTCTGACAAGTTAATTGCAATTGGGTCTTTGGCTGTCAGATGCATTACATGCATCGTTGGCTGCCCGGCTGTTGCACAATGCGCGCCTAATTGCACGTTGGAAGGCACATGCAGGAACAGACATAGTCATTTTCATATCAGACTCATGGATGTACGTACACATTCCCATTTAGTACCTACACCATTATAATTACTCACTCTCTATTAATTAATACTCACGATCAATTTTGCAATTAACCGAATTGTTGCTCTTCTTCGACGAGTTGCGTGACATTTGTGAGTGGTTGGTTTGCGAGTGCGAGGGACTCGAATCGACAGAGCGACGCGCAGCATTGTTGGTCTGAAACATACTTGGACCGCTGGCCAGTGGACTGGGTGTTACTGTCAGCATGGGATGAACACTGCCTGTAGTAGAAAGAAAGGGAAAGATGGAGAGATAGAGAGAGAGAGAGAGATGGAGAGGATGGAGAAGGATGGCGAGTTATAAACGTTGAAAAATTGTTCACATTATATACTTGTATGAATGTGTGGGTATGCAATATACTTACCGGTCTTGCTCGGGTCATGCGTCAAGTGACCGCCCAGTGAGTGCTGTAATTTATCCGTGATGCCATGAATTTTGTCCACGAAGCTGCTGCGTGCCTCTGGGGCAGTGCCTGCACCATTGTTGTTGCACTGCGGCATCAGTTCGGCAATGCTATTGATGTTCGGTATAGAGCCTAATTACACGCACGCCCAAACACATAAACGGACAGAAAAAGCAGACCAAAACAGCAAATGAAATGTATTTGGCAATTATTCACATGCCCAAAAAAGCAGGCTACGCAAAACCACAGGAAAACTATCCAACCTACCCTTGGTGTGGGATGTCACAGGCGCACAGGCCGCTGTGCTGCTAATGGCCGCCATTTGATTGAGTGCTTTGCCGTGCAGTTGTGCTTGTGTGACATTCGGCTTGAGGAAGGACACAAACAAATGTTTGGCCAGATCCAGAGGGGTCTCGCAGTCCAGAAAGGCGTCCAAGAAACGCCGAAAGCCATCGAAATCGATGTCCTGCAAAAAAGAAAACAGATGCAGATAACAAACAAAAAATTCAAATGGCACATTTATAATGAAATTGAAATTAACATTTTATGAGGCGGTATTTATTGAAGCTTCGTCAATGTCACATTATCGACAGATCGATAATGTGACCCTTGAAACAAGGTACATTATTCTGATATACACTCCTCCATATGTCAATTTGTCAATCACAGTCAGTGAGGAATTGTCACAGACCCTAATAGACCTAATATGCAAATACTAAAAGCAGGTAAAAAGGATAATATCCAGCCCGTTGGTGGTAGATTTAAAAGCCAATTTAATAAAATAAATACATAGATTTTATATGCTGCATCATTGCTGACTAAATAACTTTCTATAAAGGCAAGTTAAAGTCCTCAACTGAACTATGTTTGGCATTTAAAAATGTGCATGAGTTGTGTAAGCGATATTTTTAATGGAAAAACTTTTTATGTCTGGCTTTATTTTAGTTGTCACCGCACACTGTACCATTTATATGTTCTACAAACACACTCGGTTTCCTTATTTTATTAAGGATATACTATTGCCTTGGCTTGGGCTTGGCTCTATTATAGCTGCTTATGCAAAACAATGTGACTGCTGTATTTTTAAGCATGTCTGTTATGTGGCTGACAGCTGAAAATCTCTCCGCATAGTCAAAGTAATTACTCTTGGGTATGTATCTAACAGAGCGTATAATTGATAATCACATTTCGAGCAATGTCGATTAAGCTTTGTACATTTCATGGACCAATGCATTTAGGCACAAACGAGTGAAAAGTCAATAAAGGAATGTGACAGTCATTGTTTTGATTTGTTTCATTTGCCTTTGCCTTTTAAAGCATACAAATTTGTGTGTACAAGTATGTAACAGTTTTTGGCTTCGCACGCTTCATGTGTAAATCATCAAGTTCAATTAAATTGGCGAAACATTTAATTGGTGTTGAAAGACAACTAGATATGGCCCGTTTGCCGAGTGTAGTCTTTACATAAGGGACAGCGGCTTCCGTTTAATTTTGTAAACGGATACCATTACCATTTTTTCTTTTGGTTTGCATTTCTCACGCGATCAATAGTATTTACAAATGTAGGGTCTGCGGCGCATATTGAATTTCTAATTATTTTGTCATTTATGTATGTATCCTTTTTACGGCCATTATATTTACATTTTGAAAATGGAAATGGAAACGTAATTCTGTGTATCTTTTATATATGTATGTATCGAAGTAATTTGTAAAGGTGTCACGCATACGTGCCTACAAATGCGGCCCAAGGATCTGTTTTGGGGCAAACTGCTCACGGTGTTTTATGAATAAACACGCACACGCCGCGACAGGGCAAATTACATGTCAACAATGTGTTATGCCAATATATTGGCATTGACAGGGGCCCTGGCAGTGGAAGTGGAAACTGCAGCGAGCCCGCAGACTGCCAATACCGTAGAGCACACATCCCTCGACATTTGAACAGTTAAATCAACAGTGTGTTGACGGGTGACATTGATGGACGTATGTGCGTTACGCAAATTGCGATTCGGCGGAGTGCCACATTTGGCACAAACACACTCACACACACACACTCACACACACACACACGACAAGTGGTTTTGTTTCACTTGAAAGAAAAATGTTATGGTTAATCAAGAGTGCATGGCAACTAGAGCAAGCGTCGGAAACAGCGGCCGTTAATTGGAAAATGAGCGAATGCAGCAGAAAAACTCATTAGCCGCAGAATGCTTAACAACTGCGAAGGCAGCTACGCCATTGGCTGTCGACATTATCATAATTATAAGCAGCTACTACTCGTAACAGACGATGGTTTCGTAACTGTGCATTTTCCGCTTAGTGGAGAATGCTGGATGTGGTGTTGCTGTCAAGGCTGCGTTTTAAATTTTGCACATAAAACAAACTCTGTGTCAGGAAAAATGCGCTAGAAGGCATTAAGTTTAAGCACAAGCTTCAGTTTGTTGTTGTAACCGACACTTTAGTGCTGCTACTCGTACTGTTGTTGCTGGTATTGAGTTGTTTGTTGTGGGCGTGTTGGTCATAATGAAACTTAATACAAGAAAATGGAAATTTATTCATTTTCCTAGTGAAAATGAAGCGCAAGGCGCTCTCAACACCAACAGCACAAAGACAGAGAGGCAAGGCGCTCGAGTTAAAAAAACGGTTCAGACATTTGACGCAACCAAGCGAAAATAGCAAGCACTGGCCTCAGAGAAACGGCATATTGTATGACTTACACATAGACGCATAGAACACACACACACACACTGAAGTATTAGAGTAATGTTTTGAGGCGAATTGTCTAAGCGTAAATTTATGCTTGTCAGCAACAAGATACGCGTGCGAAAGCAACACCAGCTACTGCCCTTATATTCGTACGCATGTACGAGTATGTATGTATGTACCTCATGTACAGATATGAGTTGCTTAATAAATAAATATTCAAGTTTACTCGTATGTGCATACGCAGTGGGTGTGTGTGTGTGTGTGTGTGTGTGTGTGAGATATTCATTATGGGCACGCGTATGTGATAATCATATTGCGCACATGGGCCATTTAATGCCCTGGATGTTTACCATTCTAGCGCTCGTAGTAGCTCGGGCGCGTAATCTCTGCTTTGCATTCATTATGCACTGCATACTTTTAGGGGCTGGATATGAGGCGTTGTCTGTATTATCTATCGCACATGCTGCGAGCGTTTCTTTGAGTGTGTGTGTGTGTGTATATGAACAATATATACCGAAACATATGGCCTAGCATATAAAGCATTATGTTGACACAAATAAATTTCTATTTTCAGAGCCATTTTGTAAATAAAGCAAAACAAAACGCACAAACGACAACAAAGTGCAAAATGAATTAGTAATGCACTAGTAGACCCATGTCCCATCCACACATCCACACATCTACACTGCAACACATACAGACAGACACAGAACGCCTCTTATACATATGCATGTGAGTTTACACTAATCAAGTTTTTATTGCACTAACTTTTGGCAACTACAGCTAGTACGAGCACATGAAGGAAAATTGCATTGCCATGTAGGCCTTTGCTTAGTATGCTCTTTGTTTGTGTTGTCCTGACTGCAGGAGTTTTCAATTTGAGTGCGTACAAATTGGAAGCAGTACAGGCGTACATAGCAAAGAAAACTAACATGCTTTCCAAAGGTTGTGTACGAAAGGAAAATTGCTTAATACAAGGCAATAGCTGCCATAGTTAAAGGAAAAGAAATTTGAACTAAAAACTATATTTTGGACAGTTGCTATTTCTTCACAGTTGAAAGCCTTAAATAAAATAATTATTAATTCGATTCCTGGTGTTGAGAGGGGATCTATATGGCTAAGCCTATTCACACTACCCGGCACGTTAACTTAATATTTGTTAACATTAAATATCTATTGATGATTAATCATATCGACTAAATGTCTTTAGTAATATGTATATATATTTAGAAGGTGATATTTGAAACATCGTTTGAGGGTATTCCCGCTACGACTTTAGTGATAAGCTTTTGTGAAATATTTGCCAAGTGCAAAAGAAAGCATCAAATTAAACAAAGAAAAATACACATTTGTTTATTTCGTTTTTATTTCTATTGTTGCTTTGCCAACTAAATATTTTGCACAGAAATTTACAAATGAAAAATACTCTTAAAGTGTGTGAATGAAGTACTTTGCATTCCTCGTTGGCCAATAAGTTTAGATACTTCGCAGCAAAATAAAAATAAAATAACAAAATATAGAGAAATTGAGGTACAACGTAATAAACACAAAGCGGAGTACACAACTTTCGAATACTGCTCCTATATAACATTTAGAGGAGCTCAAAAATATTTGTCAACTGACATTGAAATGCTGCTTTAATTACGCCCACGTAGAAATTGTAATGTTCAAATATAATTTTCAAAAAGTTTTCAAAGTGTTGAATGCATGTTTCGTAAAATAAAGGCTTTCTGAATAACTAAAACAAAATTTAGCAACATTATTTTTTATAAAAACTTGCAGTTACTAACTTGTTTAAGCGTTAAAAGCCGAAATTATAAATTGTTCACTAGCTGTTGCTCTGCCTGAAAACTTTTCAGCAGTCTCACAAAATAGCACAAAGGCAAACGAAATATGTTTGCACCGTTATAAATAAAAGTTTTGGAACTTCGTATTTATTGTTGTAGTCGTAGCTATTAAACACCTACATACATGCCAGAGTCAGAAACAGGAGAAACTTAAATTGAAAGCTCACAGCTTCGGTGAATTGTGGCTGCATATAAGTATTCGCTCACTATGCCAATCATTAGTGCCTTAATATAAAAAGATGCTTCGATAGACGACTAAATTAATTTGCAGCTCTCCGTTCGGATGCTGGCGACGACAGCATAAGTCGATGGAATAGCTAATGCCAACTCAAGCGTACGAACTCTCCCTCCAGCGTCATGTTGATTTGAGTCGAGTCGTGACGCTTAAGCATTTGCCTTTTAATTAAGTTAATTGAGGAGTCGCTGCTGCCGCTTTGAGGCCGTGGCCGTGGTGAAGAGGGGTCATTTGCTTGGTGACATGTAAGCAGCTTTTTATAAAAACAGAATGAAAGTGATTGCTGTTCATATACTTAAGTACACATCACTCTGGAACATTTCAATTCATTTCACATACTAAAATATTCTCACGAATTACGAGCAGCATGGCATCAAAGTACAAAATGCTGCAGAGGGTATGGCAAGAAAAACACAAAAACAACAACTACAACAGCAACATCTAAATCGATAAAAAAAATAAATAAATAAAGAAACAGAAGCGAGTTCAATATCAAAGTGAATAAGGTAAAAAATAAATTTCACATGCATGTAGAGGCCACAGAAGCAGAGGTGTTCGGCACGGCGCGGGTACGGCCAGTTCATGCAGGAAGAAAATATTTTAAAAGCTGACATGGTAAATTGAAACAAATTACATATCTATAGTAAGTATAGTATAAAGAAACTGAATAAATCCATTATTAAATTGGGACTTATTTTAATACAGATTGTTGTTACAGGGCTTCAAAATATATTGCTAAACAATAAAATAAGAATTAGGGCAGATAGACACAGACAGTTAGAAAAATAATTTTTAAGAAAACCGTTTCATAATGCAAAAAATAGTGACTCATTCCAAAAATGTATTGATGTATCATAAAAGTTAAAAGAGATTGGGATATTGTTTTACATAAATGTAGAGGATATTTAAGCTCCATTTCGAATTCGAGTCCGATCATGCGTGATCGTGAGTGCACACATTTTTTCACGTGCACAACAATCGGAGTTGCTCGCAAAAGCAAGCGAAGAAAGAACTTAATTATATTTTTTTCCATTTCGTTACGCTGGCATGCGCTTCATACCAATACCGCCAGAGGCAGCAGCAACACCCAGGACAATTCATGTGCATGTGTGTGTGTGTGTGTGTGTGTGTGTGTGTGTGTGTGTGTGTGTGTGTGTGTGTGTGTGCTTAAGTCGCTGCCACTAGTTACGGTATGTCTGTTTGCATATGTATTGAGGTTAAATGAGCATAGGTGAGTAGATTTGACAATAAATTGAAACTTGGCATACACACACGCATACACATACATGACAATAACTGCTACAGCAGTGCTCTTTGTATGTGTGTGAGCACAATCCTTAAATCCTTTGCTAAGCTTAAACGGAAATCAACATTTCATGCTTTACTTTTGCCCCGGAACGTACATATACATACATATGTACCGACATATACGAGTATATGTGTGTATATTTATGTATACTGCCATCTACATACATACATACCAACATAGATATATATCTACATATGTATGTATGTACTGTCAGACAGTACGCGTACGCTTGTCTTCGCTTATCTACTTGTTGGCACATGTTGAGCTTCTGCTCTTACTTCGCTCGATTTCATGGAAGGTTATTAATTTCGATTTGTACGTATTCGGGCATGTTTCGCTGACAGAAAAATATTGGGTTAGGATATAGACGGCCCGACTCAGATTCACACACACTCACTCAACACACCTACCTACATACAATGGTTGAAATTAATCCACAATCCGAGTGTAGACCTTGAGCTTTCTTCTGCCAACCTTTGCACACTTTGCACGTGTATGCGTCTTTATTTTAAATCAAGACATCCTTGATTTATTATAAGCGTGTGCGTGAATGCATAAGATTTACTTTCAATCTTTCACTTTCTTTGTCCATTCGTAACAGAAGCAGAAGCAAAATTCTGAATACCCCACGCACACACACGCACTCACACACCACAACTGCGCACACACATACATATCCATTCAGTACCGATTCGATGGAAGATGTGGGTGTGGGGCATCATCATTAAACCGGCATAGACGTTCTGGCTGTTGCCAAGGCAGAAAATTGACTTTTGTTGCATGCTAACATTCATGTGCAGGTTGTTCAAATCCACACAACATTAAGGCGAATATGAACTCAAATATTGGTTACAAACTATTAAGGCCGTTACTCACCCCATCTGGTATGCATTGCTTTGTTGCTGCTGTCGTCGTCTGATTGGGCGCACAAAACTCCTCCAGCACATCCTGTAACTTACGGGTGGAGTCTTTAAGAAAATAGAGGAATAAATATGGCAAATTTTCAATTTACTTGTTGGAGCAAGTTCAAGTCGGCTTAACCGCACAAGTTTAGATAGTTGGCCACAAAATTAAAACGAAGCACAACATTCTAATAATGGAAATAATTAATGGGATTGTGTGAAAATTATTTGTGAGAAGACATCAAATATATACTTATAATAGGAACAAGTTATAAGATATACTCTGCGCGTTAAAGGTTAGCACTCTTCTTTCAATTCTCACTTAATGTATAATTTTTGTCCATTAAACTTTTATCAATTCCCTTAAAAAAAAAAAGAAAAACAACGACTGCGACTGAAACATTTTATATACATTTTTTAATTCCTTTTTTTTAAAATTTATTTAATAAGAACTTTACTTAAATTAAATAAAAACTAAATTCAATTTCTTTTTCATTTTTGAGCTACAAAAGGTTGTCATAATGCTTTTATTTTATACTTTAAATATTTTTCAACAAAATCAATAAATCAAAAATCAATCATCACTAAATTAATCTCCATCGTTGAATTCAGGTACAAAGACTTTAATGTTTATATCAGCATTATCTTTCCAAACCAAATAGTTATTCTCTTCTATTCCAAGAGTGATATTTGATAGTTGCCTTTATGTTACGTTCTATTACTTTATAGTTATAAATAAAAATTTTTAATTGGGTGTGCATTGACAAAGGAACCATTGAATAGCGACAAAATTACATGCAAATAAAAATGTATAAATATTTTCCTCTACGTTTAGGCAAGAGCCTCTGTTGCTGATGCTATTTCCAGTGCCCAAGTGCAACTTGAGCTAAAAACAATGCAGCTTTTTCCATTTCCCCAGCTGACAGCCATAAATGCGGCAGTGGCGCCAGTTTAATCGACGTCTTGAACGTCTGCCCCCGCCCAAATGGGCAAATAGTTCATGCTCATGGCAGTCTAGGCAATCGTCCGTTTGGCTAGCACTTCCGTGACGGGCGATGCAAAGCTACTTTGGCAGGATTGGCAAAACGTATAATTAACTAATGGAAACAAACGCTACACGCATGGCCATTATTATAACTGTTGTTATTCCGGTTGACTTTATGGCAAGCGTTGATGCACAGGCGTTGGCGTTGTCGTCACTCAACACCAAAGTGCTTGCGGTTGCCAGTGAGCTCCTACTTGTATTTACCTGAAGTATGTGCCTCTGTTTCCCCATTTAGATACACTTAATCATGCTTCAACATGTTGCCATCGTGCAAGAGGCGCGAAAACAGTTGGTATGCAATTATATTAACTCGATGGTTGTGCGGGCCAACCTGCGGCTATAAGTGCGTGTGCGCTAGTGTGTGTGTAGTATGTATATGTTATGTGTATGTATTAGCTTAAGGCCATGCCCTAGACTGGCCCACTCATGTACCCGAAATGTGTTGGCCAGCAACCGCAATTCAGTGAAGCGTGCTTGAATACTTCACGCACGCATGCACGGGAGGCTGCTGGTGACACTCATGATGGGAACGACTGAGGAGCTAACTCTAACCACCTAGCAGCACCACACTAATGAAACCGAATACTCTAATTTACAGCATTTGCTGTTTTCATAGTGCTTCGTTCCTTGGAAACTGTCAGAAGCACACATCTCATATAGGACGTACTTTATCTTCTACTTCTATTGTCTACACCTAACATTTTAAATGCAAGTGATTTGCCAAGCACATGACATTAGGGAAAGGCAGATTAAAATCACACATGCACGACCTAGCACTTACTACACTATATACTATACTCGTACTATGTATTAGTTAAAACACTCATACATGTGTGTACTATACATAGTTGAAAGAAAATTAAAATCGCGGCGTTGCTTAAAAACTTGAAATTCATTTCATTTCTTCGGGAAAGTTTTAACTGCCCACATCAGGCTATCCTACGGCTGTAATGAAACGAATTATATAAGTTATTACTGAAACAAGAAATTAGCCAAGCACGAAACTATAAAATGTGCACTGATTTCTAAAAATACCAATCCAGCCAAACAATGTGCCGTGGAAACCAATTAGACATTTCAAAAATAAATAAACTAAAAAGAAAAATAAGGGAAACTTCTGAGCTTTGATTCTCTTTTTACCTGTTATGCTGATTGTTATCTAACGCTGCAGTAGAATAGAATACAGGGACAAAATACCGCTCACTTGTCATCCCATTTTCATTATTAAATCTAATATACTACACTCTCTTTGTAAATGAAGAAGGATTCTCAACAATATGAGAAAAGTGCATGTGGGTAGAAACTAATTATTTATAGTGTGCACGCGTGGCGAATATTCAAGGAAAATAAGGGTGCATTGACAATTTTTCTGACAATTTCTTAATTAAACAATTGCAATAAAAGTGCAATATAAAATGCGTACGAAAAAAAGTAATAAATGTAAAGTGAAAATTAATTGGTATTTCGCAGATTTCATTTATTTGTGTGCATGCGGATGGGTAAACAGGCCCAGAATTCTGGTTAAAAACAAAGGGCATATCAAAAAGCAATGCATGCAATAAATGAGAAATTGTCATGACAAACAAAAGTGTATGTACATAAAATAAAAAATTGTAATTATATTTCGACGAAAAAGGCAATTAAAATGAATGTGATGGCAATATTTGAGCTGTCAATCAAAATACATATTAATAGTCAACTGCAGAGGTGGATATGTGCTCTTGATTACATGTTAATAAATCTGACCGTCAATTGATCAATATTGCCAAGCAATGTGAATATACACTTACATGAGGCCAACTCCTGCAGCTGCAAGAACTCGCGCGGCGATAATTTGTCCCATTTCTGTGGAATGCCAATATTCATGTTGCCTAGAAGAAGGAAATGCGATAAAAATGGTCAGGGTCGGAATTTAACAGCACAATGATCCGCGACGTGCCCCTTTTCAGCATTGAACATATATAAAATATTATAAACATACGCTCAGAACTAAATCGTAGTACATATACTATATGTATAGTATATCTGAAAACAAAGCATATCAGAAGAAAAAGTCGTGACTATTTTTAGCCACAAACTACCCGCTCGTCAGTACATTATTCAAGCAGAAATGTTTTCGCATTGTGACAAAATACGAAACAACGCCCATTAGCTTGTCAATTTGTCAGTACATCAATGTGCCCCAATCGTGCCTTGGGTGCCCCTATATCATTGGCATGCGACAGACACGTCACCAATGCCTGCCAAAATGTAAAAAGAACCGAACAACAGCATCAGTCGCATCATCATCATCATCGTCATTATCGTCATGCTCATCATTGGCATAATCATAATGGGGTTGCGTTTCGTTCAACGTAAATTATACGTTTCTACCTCCGGCGTACTTAAGAAACAATTAGCCTAAGCGTTTTCCGTTTAGTCGTGAAGAATGTGAAGAATATTAGTAAATATCTGTTAGTCTATTTTTACTGTACATTAATGCATATTGAATGTTGAGGAACTACAAATAGTGCCGTCATATATCGCTCGTGTCATTTGTCATGTGTTCTTTGACGACATTTTGGAAAAGAAGACGCACACACTTAAATCCATGCACACTACAACATGACGCCCACACATAAAATACCGCATGCCATCAGGTAGATATACCAAGCGCCATCATCGGACTATCAGACATAGCGACAACAGCAGCAACATCAACAGCAACAACAACAACAATAGCCATTAAGAGCCCGTCGGCATTTGTATCTTGTATTTGCTTGGCGTTTATTTTTACTCTTGACTATTTAGCATTTTTATTTATTCATTTCGCAAATATTTTTATACGGCTTTTGTCTCTGTGCTCGTTTGTGTTTGTGTTTCGGTTTTGGCCAACAGCTATTTTCAGATCACGCGTGAAAATCATTTTGCCACTGCGATGGCGTTTGCTGTTTTAATTTTAGACAAAGTGGCAAGCATACATTTTTAAATAATATAGTAGCGTTGATTGACTGACTTATCAGCACGGCCTTGCGCTATTGTAGCGTTGTTATTGTGTCATGTGCAAAAATAATCCTATCAAATACTTATTTTCAAGAAAAGTCTGAAAACGACTGTCAACTCCTTGTGCAAAGTGGCATTCAAGCTGACGTAATTGTCTCTTAAGCCTTACATAATTGTCAAAACAATATATTTCCAAGAAACGTTCCAAACTGAGCTCCTTGGAACTGATGAGATGGTAAAAGAAGCTTTCTCATATGACATTAAATCATTTTATGTGTCACTAACTCTTCCTATTTCGTTTCTATAATTGTTTTCCCTTATCAAGAAAATTGACTCGTTATGGAGTTTTGTCTGTAGAATCGTCCTCTGAGTCTTCTTATTATAGCAACATTGCTAGTCAATTACTGTGTAGCTACAAGCGCCTGTTATAAGCGATGTGATTGATGTCTTCAATAAAGGAGTTATAATTAGAGTTTTGAACAAATTGGCATTCTATCGTTGTACAATCAAAAACTTCGTCTTAACATTTGAAGAACATAAAAGGGCGACATTTCCACAGAAACTTCTATAAAAACTTCTGTAGAAAGACGAAAGACTATTTTCCAGGGTATTTCTAAATTGCTCAGCTTACTGTACTGCATTATCTAAATGTAGCATAAGTATAAAATAATATATTTCTAATCGAATTTTATAAAATCTTAAGCATTACATTAATCATACTATTTGCAAAAAGTACTTTTTTTTTATTATTGGTGGACTGTTAATTCATTTTCATTAATTTAAACAATACGAATTCAACAAAATAATGAAGAATATGTGTTCTAGGATTGGTTTTGCCAACTGAAGGTGTACTTTGTGTAATAAATGCTTAAATGGAAACATTCATGTAATGGCATTTAATGGCATACCCAAGTGTTCCTTTTTTTATACGCGGTTTGGTTTTATGGGAAACCTCAACAATAACTACAAGCAATACAAGCACGTTTTAATATTATGTATGTATGTGTATCGTATTATCAATAGCTCCAAAAAGTGTGCTCGAGCTATTTTAACGAGCAGAAGATATTGTTGTAGATACAGATTATACTATTTGTAGTTGGCATCAGGGCATACACACATACACACATACACACACACACACATTATTCACAGATCATTTGGCGTTTATGGGCGCTCTTATAATGCGTGCATTAAAAACATTTTCCTACAGCGATAATAAACTAATGAAAATGCAAACAAGAATGGCAGAAGGCAATAAATATGCAGCACACATACAAACGTACGAGAGAAGAGTGGCTTGCCGGCAACGCGGCGTATGCGCAATGTGCCACGCGCCACTAAGGTCGCTGTTAATTGTGGCGTTAATGGGCTATACTGTCCTTTAGGATTTCGTTTTCTAGTTGTGGGAGGAATTCGCCCAAAAGGGCGTTACTTTGCCATAAAAATGTATGCCTGTATATCTGTATAAACATCCATAAATGGCCACAAAATGGCAAGAAAAAAAATCATGACCATGCCGATTATAATGCTGTGACGCGCACAAAATTTCAATAAAACAGGCATGGATTTCTTTTTACATATGGGCCCCTTTGTTTTCAAGGGCCCATCCAAGTTGAACGCACTGTTGAGTGCCTCTTGTGCTCGTCACATAAAATATTATTGGATTATGCACACTGGGTGTTTAATGTGTTGCTATGTGTGGGTCTACTATGTGTGTATGGGTGTGTGTTCGTGCTTATACAAAAAATGTAGTTCTCATATATACATAAAATACAATAAGCGCCAGCTTTAGCTTTAGCTTCAGCAAGATCATGATAAACGATAAATACACACACATACACGTGCTGTATGTCTCTTTACGAGCTGCCTGGATAAAACGTTATACGTTTATTGTTTTAGCCGAAACAAAGTAGCCATAAAATCTAGCATATTCCTAAATGTACAACACAAAATATACTTTATGTTTTAAATTTGCTCGGTAGATGAATTCTTGCGCTTTATTCTTTTATATTCAGCTTTTTGTTCCGGAAATGTTGCTGCTTTCTAAACAATAATTGGAAAATCCCCAGCACATTGTGATTTTTTTAATGGCATTTAGGAATTTTTGCATTTCTAATGGCAACCAAAGTCCAAAGGCCAACCAAGCCCATTAGTCTTGGTCAGTAATTATTTATTTGACTCTCTGTAGCAGTAATTGTCCGATTTTATTTTTTTCAGGGCGCGTAGTATATATATTTTTGTTGTTCTTTTCCATATTAGTTACATTCAATTAATTCGGAACACTGACTTTTTTGTCTAGAAATGGGCTAAGGTAGGGAATTCTTAGTGTGTTTTCGACTTTTTGGTCAATTATACCTGTAAATACAAAGTGTGGGCACTTAAGATATATGTTCGATGTAAGCTGTAGTTTTGCTGGTCTATTTAAAATAAAAGAAAGTGGAAAATGGCCCTCTAATAAAAGAATACATCTTGCAATATATGTAGTGGCCGAAATAAGTAGAACACATACAGTTGAAAAATTGAAAAGATCCTATAATTAATCTTTTAATACTCAAAAACGTTCTGAAATGTAGGATATTGTATTCCAAATAAGTATTTTCCCAACTATTGACAGCTGTCGTTCCTTGGTTTTAATTAAATCGAAAAGCTTGTTCTTTCTGACTGCAAACATGCAATTTTGATTTAAGGGTATGTTGAAAAGTATTATTTTGTTGGTATTAAGCAGAACTCATTTAAGAGACGTAAAATCATGCAATTCATCTAAATTTGAAAATAATAATAAAATGGTAACAAATTTGAAGGATTTTGTAAATACTTAATAAATAAATATAAAAAGCAATTCTTTATGAATATGACGACATGTTGTCATGAAAAACTCAAATGAATGAGCATTCGTGCTATCGGCGAGTGCAGCGGAATTTTGCCTCGATTAATCCCGAGCAGTATTCATTTATTTAACAAAACAAATAAATGGGACACAAACACAGACAAGCATTTGCGACGCTTCTGCCTTTTGTTGTGGCATGTGGATGCATGAGTGAAAAATGACATTTCACATTTATTTGCATACACGCTGCATGCAATTGGCATTCATTGTTTATCATACGCATTTCTATGGCTGTCTGCAGACCGTTTATGTACACATAAATACTCACATATTTATATTTGTGTGATATAGTGTGCAGGCATCAGATTGTCAATTGCTTCTGTTTCTATGCATACTCGTATGTACATACATATGTTCTGGTTTTATAGATGCAGTCTGTCATTTATAGTATCGCAAACAAATTGCAGAAATAAATTTGCGAGTAAAAGAACAATGTCAATAATTCATAATATCACAACGCCACAGATACAATTGATGTGGCATTTATCTGTGTTTTCGAAGCGGTGTCAAAAGATTACACACACCAGGCACCACATAGATCTTCAAAAGGCTGCTGCTTGCTAGACAATGGTGGGTTTATTTTAATAAGCGTAAAATGCTATTATTAATTATAAAGAAACATTTGTGCATTTGTGCAATAATTTTAATTGGGACATCAATAAAAGATAATGATAAAATGTATCAAAAACACATATCAACATTTAAGGTATAGCATTGTTATTAATTACTGAAGGGTTATGCAAATGGGGCAGCTTACAAACAAAGCAATTCAGTTCCATGTGCTTTATTTTTGTACTCCACCTTCAATATACAATCTAAATTTGTAAGTAAACTAAGCTTAAATTGGTTGACTCTCGCCATTGTAATAATAAAATATAACACATACATAGTACATTTTTGCTTGGATTTAAAATTTGATATTTATTCAAGCTGCATAATATTTGCATGAAAATTGTAAGCACAACATTCTAATCTCCGTGGATTGTCAGTTGTGTGC